TGTGAAAGAGTATGGGAGCAGATGAGCGTGTTGCTGCAGCTGTGGCTGGGACTGATCAAACCCCCAGGATCCCAGATGGTGGCACATGAAGAAATCCAGGGGGAGGGAGAAGGCGCCTCAGACAAGGGCCTTTCGCATGGCAGACTTTCACATGCACAGGGTCCTGGATCTTCCGAGTCCCTTCATCTTTCTGTCTAGGGCTCCCTCTATATGAAGTTACTTCGATTCTGTGGGCTGCCTTGGGATGTAATTGCTTGTAACTTTTCTCGTTCTCAGTACACTGATTAGTGATGTAGGAACTAGGGGAAGGAGGAAGGCTCAGCAGTTACTCAAACTAAAGTGTGCTATTAAAATACAACTGAACAACTTGGTTATTTCACCTTGATCATCTATAGTCAACATCAAGCATTTTGTCCATCACATAATGCTGGTTCTTTCTTACTGGGCATACATGTTTGGTCCATGTGGACTTGACTGCTATGCTTTAAGGCATCTTTCTCTTTCATTTTGTTGTCTTGCTCAAACAACAGTGCTAACTTCAGTAGAGCAAAAAGTCATCATGGGTGATGTATGATCCTCCCCTCCCATTACTGCGACTGACAAGCGCAGCTGCTGTCGTGTGAAGGCGATACCCCAGACCGAACAGCCGGTGCGTTTTTTAGCTGCTGACTTAAAGCCTGTGCTCCCATGGGATGATTCAGAAATTCCTTCAGCCAGACAGATAAGGTCTCTCTTTGCTTTTAAGAACAAGGCCTGTGCTTGGTCCAGTTGGCAAAGGTAGCAGGAGGTGTGCTCAGATGGCAGGGCTTTCTTGCTTTTCAGGCTGGTAGCCTTTAGGATAAATGCAAAAGTAACAGAGAATATGGAGTGGCTTAAAGGTCCCTCATGGAAAGGGAACTTGATCTGTTTGGCAGGATGTTATGCAGCAGTGTAATGGGGTCTGTAACGGTGTCCCTACCTCTGTAGGAACACCTTCTCATAGAAACTTGGCAGATTCTGATGAGGAAGTCAGTTTGAATGAAATGAGATTGGTGGTATCAGAGTTAATAGACAATGGTCTGGAAGCATGAGGTCAAACATCAGCAGTGAACTTCAGTAAAATAAACTTTGAGAGTCAAAGTCCATGCCTTCCTACGCAGTCTAAGAGCCCTGAGCAAAGGGGGAATGCCTGGTTGGTGTCATCAGCTAAGGATAAGCTCGACTCTGGAGGTCTGAGTGTAGTGGAAAGCATTCAAAGCTTTCAGAGCAGGGGCATGGAAAAGAAATTGGCACAATAGGTGGTGTAATACAAACAGTTTAGTATTTTGGAATCTTTTTTTATTTTAGGATTAAGCCTTATCCGTGGGGCTTTGTTTCTTGCCCGGCATGTGGGTCTCCCGGTCTTCATCTCCAAGCATCTGTCCTTCCTCCTGATACTGTCCCAAAGCACAGCTGAAAGACTTGGATTAAAAATAGACTGAGGTACCGGACCATATTTGGCCTACTCAGTCTGCCTGTTGCAGCCTGTTGTCTCTTCAACCGTTGACACACTGTTTTCACTACTTATGGTGCTGGGTCCCCTGGTTACTTCTCCCTTCCCCCTTCTTGGTTTACATTAGTGTGCTTATCCCTAATGGAGGCACCCAGCACAGATAGCTGTGAGTGGAGATGCTAATGAGGCTGCAGTACCTCTGGCAGCTGAGCTGATCTAAAGATTTGCTGCTGTCAGAAAGGAGAGATCTGCCTTTAAGCACAAACTCCCGCTCCTATTTACTGGCTCTGGCATTCCTTACGTGAGCCACTTTAATTCCCTGACCTGGCAGAAAGCTGCCCAATTCTTTTAATGGGTTAATGAATTAGAGCAGCTCTAGGAGGGATCTAGCAAATGCTGCTGTTGCAAGGTAAGTGTATGGAGTGCATGGCCAGAAGCTGAGAGCAGTTCTCAGCTCTCTGCATCTCCTGGTACTCTACCCGCGGAGGGAAGATTAATCATCCGCTGAACTAAAAAAGCTTGCTTGATAGTAAATGCAATGCACTTAATACTGTGAGCTGATTATTCAACTCATTTCTCTTGTTAATGTCAGAGGGAAGAATTTGTGTGTCTGTATAAATTATGGAATGCAGCTGGAGGTATAGAAGCAGAGGAATAAGTTTATGTAAATTACTTCGCATGAAAATGGCAGGTGCTGTCGCCTTGGTGTTACGTTGTCATGAGCCAGCATCCAGCATTATTTAATTACAGAGCATCCTCTCTCTCAGCTTCTCAATGTGCCATCCTGAAACATATTTAACTCATCTGCTGTATGATAAAGGGATACTGACTTTCTGACTCCTTATAGGAGACACATCTGTGGTGGGAGACCCCTACATAGTATGTTCAGAAGCAAGACAGGGAAGCTGCTTGGTCATCTGGCTGTGCCACATACGTCTGGCAAGGGTTTGGAAAGAAGGGAGCCAGTGGCACCAAGGGCTCCTCAACTGCCTTTTGTAACACATGGTTGATATTATAATGATTACTTTCCCTTGGGTATTTTTTGCCTAGTTCGAGATTGCAGAATTTTCTTCTGTAATTATTTTTCATCACTTTAGTAATTAAAGCAATTGCTCATGTGAGGTATTTCAGGTGAAGAGTGTATTTAATGAATATCCTCTCTTGTCTTTCAATACTGCTGAGCAGGTAGACACTGGGAAGAATTAGATTCAAATAAGTAACTAGCTGCTGATTGTTTGGCCACCTCAGCTTGGAAATTGCTATCTTGAGGTAGCAAACTGACATTTAGCATCAGGAATTTGCTTTGAGTATGAGGCAGATTATTATTTTGAGTATGAGGCAGATTATTGTCAGCACTTGTAGACTTGTGTCTAGTGAGGCAGATTTAAAAATGACTTTGAAAGAGAAATAGGAAATAAATCAGTAAATATCATTATGTTAGAGTATACAGCTGTGGTACTTCTGCATATCTCTCAAAGGTTATAGCAGATCTAGAAGTAGTACAGGGAAGGATAATGGTGGTGATGAAAGGGATGTAGCAGGTTCTTTATGAGAAGAAATGAAATCTTCACTTACAAAAAGAGCTGACAGGAGTGAAGGCATATGACAAGTACACAGAATATTGTACGGTATGAGAAATAAAATGGGAAACTTTCCTGCTTTCACTTACTCGGACGCACATAGGAAATAATCAGGTGCCACGTGTGAAAGAAAGAAGACCCAACCAGTTTTCTGTTTCTTGTTTTTTCCATATGATGAAGAATTTAGCATTGGAACTCCTGTCCATACGGTGCTTTGGAAGTTGAGACATCAACTGGCTTGGTTTGCTGGAGGCTGATCTGGATGTAACTTCATGTTTGCCCTGTTTTGTGTTCTTCCACAGATGCCACAGACTTGGCCACTGTCAGAAAGCAGACAATGGGCTGGATGGATCTTAGTCTATCACTGCTCCATTGACAGTGTCACTTCCTACTCTGGTAGAGGGTAGAGGGGCAGGGGAGGAGGTTTGTGTCTGGTGCATAATTCTTCACTTGTTTTTCCACTAAACCTGCTCAGTAGATATCAGTTCATTGGTGGGTGACGGGTTGTTTTGACGCGGGTTCTTCACTAGAAGCTGCAGAGATCTTCCCACGTTGTCTGTGCTCTCCTTTGCAGTGGGAAGATTGCCTTCTGCCAGTCATAGCTTGCAGTCCTTGTCTCCACATAGTTCCTGAAGCTCTTGATTCAATAAGGTCTTTGGGTTTGGTTGTTTTTTTTTTTTTTGGATCCAAGAGTGGTCTAGAAGCAGTGGAGTGAGCACAGTCTGTCTCCCAGATTTTGTAAGCCACCCAAGTCCCCTTTTAAATATAGTTATTAGTTACAGTTTGTGTTTTGTAAATATTTTCTTTGCAGTGATTTATGGCTCTTAACCTCCTCATTACGATTCACAACATTTTGCACCACCTGCTTCCTGGGGGAGATGGGGGTTTGTTTTTTCCTTTTCTATAACTTGGACCTGAATCGTTTCCAGTTCTGGGTGCAAGTGGGAGATGGAAACAGAATGTGCTTGGGTATTAATAGTCCCTGTGCTGGCCTGTCGCACTGGTGCTTGTCTGGCTTGTCAGGGAGGTAGCCCTCTGTCTGGCCACGCAGATGGAGATCTGCTGGAAGCTCAGGAGGGGCTGGAGCTGCTGCCTCCCTCCTATTGAGGAGGACTCCTCAGCAATTCCTTGTTCACCAGCTGCCCTAGGATGGAAGAGTGTGGTCGAGAGGTGGGAAGGTGGTTGTATGCTGTCCCCAAATCTTCCAGAATACCTTCGTGTTGCCAGGTGTCCTTTTCCCCTTTTCATGCAAACATGCTTCTCTTTATGCTGCCTTTTCTTGCTTAGGGTTTCCTTAGTGCTTGCTGGCGGGTGTAAGGGAGAAGCTGGCACAGGGGCACAGGCAGCAAGCAGTTAAAAGTGAAGCTCATATTGCACGTGTCCTGAGCTCTGATGTATTTCTCAGTGACCTTGAGCAGAGCTCAAAGCTTGCGTGTGCAGGCATGAATGACATTATCACCTGCATAAGTATATGTTACACAGGCTGTGCTGAGGAGGTGAATCCAACACGGCTTCTGAACACAGGACCTTAGCTGCAGTATATCTCTGTGTTGCCTGATGACAGGCATTGAGACCCAGGGAACAGGTATTAGCTCCCTTCCATCCAAGCCAAATTACTATCTGTAGCAAAGGGTGAGGGCTGGTTCTTTGCTATGAAGTGTTGATGTGAGGCCAGAAGGAAGGAGCTGAAACTCGGTGTGGGGAAGGAGTCAGGGTGGGGAGTGGCCCCTCTGAAATGCAGGCTTTTATCATCTGGCTTGGTCAGGGTAATGCTGTTGCCGGTCTCCATTATGTGCTGCTTGAGAACAAGCTCCAGGCCCTTCCTCTCATCTCCTTCCTAATGAATTAAGACAGGGAATAACTATAAAAAGGGGGGAAAAAAAAGAAAAGAGGCAAGATCTGAGGAGACTTTCTTTCATTTACGTTGTGGCTGAGTGAGTGGCAGTAGACAAATGCATTGAGCTAGTGTTATAGTGGCTGAAAGTTCAAATCTTACCTTAGGGCCATGGACAATAGAAATGAGGGAGCTACTGCATCTAGCGAGAGAAGGTATTTAATGTTAAACTGCTGCTGAAAAAACAGGACATGTGAAAGCCTGAAGAGCATTCGGGGACTCTTTGGCTACTCTAGTGTAGCCAAAAAAGTACAAATGGACAGAGATGCTCTGTTCCTTCTATAGTGTCTCCTCTTTGAAGCCTTTGTCTTACTGTACACATCTCACGTGCTGCAAAATGACTTCTGTGTGGCAGCAGTGCTCTGCCATATGCAGGAACAGCTGTGAGTGTTTCTGAGCAGGCCATGGCTACATGCAAACATCACACCCGTGGTAAGAAGGGAGTTCTGCCCTCTGCCTGTGAACAAATGCATGGGAGAGGAGTGCAGACGACCTCCTGGCTCCCTTCCCTGGACAACTGGTGGATCCAGTCCTGTGCAACCTATGTTTGAACGTAAAGACTAAACCATTTTTGTCATCACCGTTCAGAATCTGCGCCATTCCTCATTCACACTGCAGAAGATGCGCCTGTGTGCATGGGTGTTTGCCCGCTTTGCCAATTCATGCAAAGCCATAGAAAACATGGGATTTGGCATATTGCACTCGCAGAGCTCCGATATGGACTGTAGAGATCCCTTTATCAGGAGTGGTGATGATTTTGGGGAGTTACTTCAGAGCACTCACTTGCAGGTGTTTGCTTATGGTGGTGATGGATAGGCTGCTCCTGTGTTTTGTCCTTCTTGGACAGATTTACCCTGAGGAGCAAAGGACTCTGATGGAGTCATAAAAATAAAACCACCAAATAGCATGGTGTGATTTAATCGTAGGCCAGCTGCATCGATTCTTCCCCCAGGGTGCACTCTCTGTGTGTTTAGAGATGCATTTTTGTCATAGGGGTGAGGATAGGAGAAGAGGGGGAACTTGAAGAGGGAGAGGCAGCTTTTTAGATACGATCAAATGGAAGTTCTGAGGTTGTTCTTGAGAATTTGATGCTTGAGTGATGGGTGAGTCTTAGCCAGATAAAAATGCTTCGTCCTGATAGGCTTCTCCCGAGACTTGCACAGCTCTGGGAAGCAGAGATATTCGCAGGGTGATATTTTTGTCCTTCCTATCACAGCTTAATTTATATTAACCAGATCAAGCATGTTTTGTGCTGCCTGTGCAGCCCTACGAAAATAAAATGGAAAGCTGCCACTGCTTTGCTCAGCGTGACAGGACCCCAGTGCTTGCTGTTTGCGTGCTCTTGTCAGTGCTTTATAACCAATATACAAGTTCAAGGTCATGCCTGTAAGAGACGTTTCTGGCCAGAAGAAGCTCTCTTAATGTTGCCAATTTAGTTTATCTGTGGAGAGATGTTTCTTTTGAAGCATTCATGAAGTGTTTTATATTGAGTGATGTGCAGGGCAATTTAGCCAGCCCAGTCAGTGGCTGGGGAAGTCAGTGTGAGCAACTCCCATGAGATTTCTTTCCTCTTTGGTTCGCAAATTGTGTATTTAAAACAGCCAGGGGAATGGGCAAAAAAGCCCCAAACAAGCAAAAAAAAAAAATCCTACTCTTAAATCTTTACTTTTAAGGACTGTGTGTGTTCTGGAAGGTGCCTAAAAAAACTTGGCTCTAGCAGTTACACAGTCCTTGCTGCCTTGTAGAACTTCTTTTTACTTGATGGGTAAAGGAAGAAGTCAGGTTGTCATCTAAAGAAATGAAATGACACTTAAAAGTGCATCACAGAGGTGGTCAAAGCATGACTCCTGGGAGGCTGAGGCAAGCAGCGGGAGATAGAGTGAGTGGGTGAGTGCTCTTTGAATACCTTGGCCTGTCAATGCGTGCTCTCTGAAAGGGACAGAGCAATAAAACAACCAAATTGTAGTCTACTTTGTTCTGTCGCTCTGACCTTTTGAGGTCATTTTTTCTGACTAAGGTGTGAAAAATACCATTTTCTCATCAAGCCATTTTGCAAAAGGGACTTTACCTTTACATTTAGTGCTGTGCTCAATTTTCACCCCTACTTAGTCTAAGCCCAACACAAGTGGCTGACACTCTCTTCCTTTCTTCTCCCCTGCCAGTCATCTCTGTGGGGGTGTTAGGTCTCTGCTCTGGCACACTGGTCTCCCTTATTCCTCTGTACTTTTTCTGAGCACAGGTCTCCTTGTCCCACCCCTTGACCTGGCTTTGCCATACCAGTCAGTGCTTTGGAACGCTGGAACAAATTGCCTTGTTTTAGCTGTGGAATTGGTAGCAGAAAGTAGCACTTGGAGTTTTTGTAAATTCTGCAGGGGTAATGCCTACTTCCTGTCCCTGGGCTGACTTTTAAATGTACGAGAAAAGTTAATCTAAGACATCCATAAGCTGTTCATGTATGGATTTTACCATTCAATTATGGATCTTCTTTTGGGGTAGTGTTTCTCTGAAGGGAGCTTGACAGAGCAGATGCCATTTTGCCTGGGAATGCATTTCTGGTTTTGGCCAAGTGAAGAGCTGCCACTTAAGCTGTGGGATTTGGATGACTGCATGAACATCCTGCCACATGAGATTAGAGTGGCGGTACTACCTCCCAGCTTCAGGATATGAAAGATCCGCCTCTTCATTAGAGCTTTCATATGGTGGCAGCTGAAGTGAGGAAGAACAGGCAAAAAGAGAGAAGCAATTTAAGAAAACCAAAGGCAAATCTACTGAGCTAAAAGGTGATACGAGGGGAGGGAGGCTGAGATCTCATTACTGTTTACTCATGGAAAGGGAGGGGAAGAACAACAGATCAGTTGTTACGCATTACTGGCTTTATCAAAATAATTGTCAAGTGCAAGATACCGCAATTGCAAGTGTAGTACTAATACCTAAAAAAAGACAGGCAAAGCACGTGAAAGGAATTTGTGTGTTTTCTATTCATGCTCACACTTTTGTCTTTCTGATTTCAGCAGACAGAAGGAGGGGCACAGACAGATGGACAGCAATCACAGACACAGAGCAGTGAGAATACCGAGAGCAAATCCACTCCAAAGCGACTTCATGTGTCTAACATTCCCTTCCGCTTTCGAGATCCTGACCTTCGGCAGATGTTTGGGGTAAGTTACCGGCACCTTTTGAGGCATAGCAGAAGCATCCCCCTTCCCCAAAGGTGGGACATGTGGTGCTGGTGTATTCGTGTGAAGGAAAATGAAGCACACTGTGAAATACTTGCAGGACTGTGAAAATTGTTAGCATTTACCTCAGGTGGTAAATACATATAAAGACTATAACTGTGGTGTTCATATCAAGATGTTCAGTGTAACCTAACAATTGGTTTGGAAGAAAAAACAAACCACAAAATTAAACTTCATCTTATTTCCCAGTAAAGGCTAGGATTAAACATTGACTTAATATATCCCTTGCAAAGCACTGTTTTTCAGTTGCTTAGAAACTTGTTGAAATATTTATGTCTTTCCTCATGATCCACTCTGTGATTGAAAAATTGCTGCAAGGAATTGGCCAACTAGCAATTGCATGTGGAAAAGCTAGTGCAAGTCAGATGGTATTTTACATTGTGTATGATACACATTCTATTTCTTCTGACCAAATAGTTTGCCTTCCCTAATCTTTGTATGCTATTCATCATTCTCAATTTATAAGGTCTTTGGGGAAGAGTTTGTTCACATGAGTATAGGTGGTGACTCATTCCCTGTGAACAGAGATAAATGAGCTAGATGCTTCATGACCTAACCTATAGGTGAAGTTATCTATCTATATGTCATCATCAGGAATATTTGGCTTGTTTATATGATTGTAGCATCCTTGGTTGATGGCACATTCTGAATCTTCAGAAATATATCTTGCTATTTATAAAGTTCACAGTTGCTGCCTGCTTAAGATGCAGTGCAGAGCACTCAAGTCAGGATAGACCAAAGCTAAGGTTCCTCTTGCCACCTTCAGCTTTGAGTATGTACCTTGGCCCTAACTGCATAGCCAGCTGCTCCTCCAAATTTTGCAGTATTCCTGTTTCAGTTGCTGCATCTCTTGAGCCATCTATGTTGTCCTGATGGACAACAAATCAAACATAAGCAGCAGCATGCCCTTGCAGCAAAGGTGGCCATCCGTACCCTGGGCTCTGTTAGGACTGCATCTGGAGTACTGTGTCCAGGGTGGGCTCCCCAGTGCAAAAAGTGCACTTTGTGTAAGTGCAATACTAGAGTAAGCCTAGTGGGCACCACTGAGATGGTCAGGAGGCTGGAGAACATGGCATGTGAATGGAGTCTGTGACCTGGGCCTGTGAGAAGAGAAGGTAGAGGGGAGATTTTTTTTCTTGTCAGCAACTACCTGATGAGAAGATACAGAAAAGACAGAATCATAGAATCAACTAGGTTGGAAAAGACTTTCAAGATCATCAAGTCCAACTCTAACCCCAGGACTGCCAAGTCCACCACTGAACCATGTCACTGAGGGCCTCATCTACAGGTTTTCTGAACACTTCCAGGGATGGTGATTCCACCACTGCCCTGGGCAGCCTGTTCCAATGCCTGACCACCCATTTGGTGAAGAAATTACTCCTAATATCCAGTGTAAACCTCCCCTGGCACAGCTTGAGGCCATTTCCTCTTATCCTGTCACTTGTTACTTGGGAGAAGAGACTGACCCCACCTCACTACAGCTGCCTTTCAGGTAGTTGTAGAGAGCGATAAGGTCCCTCCTGAGCCTTCTGTTCTCCAGACAAAGCCATCTTCTCCAGATGTAGCCAGATTCTTTTTGGTTGTATGTAATGATGAGATGAGAGGCAACAAACACAAGTTGGAACATGGGAAATTTTTATCAGATATCAGAATTTTTATCAGATACCAGGAATTTTTCTCCTTTTTTTTTTTTTTTTAACTGTGAGGGGGTTTCAATCCTGCAATATGTTTCCTGGAGAGGTTGTGGAACCTCCATCCGTAAAGGTATTTGACTTGACTGGACACAGCCTGGCCAACCAGGTCTCATTAGACCGGTTTTGGGCAGGGGTTGCACTAAATGACTTCTGGAGGTACATCCCAGACAAAATTATGATTCTGTTGCAAGAGGCCTGAGTTTGCTTCCGTCTTGTTCATACATTAGATTGTTACACTCTTGACATCTTTGGGAATGTTTTCAGAGTGAAACTCATCTCCTGGCAATCTGCAGCTGCCGAATCTTCAGTCTCTTGCTCTGCTTTTGTGTTTTTTAGCTTCCTGTAGCTGTTGCAGGGCTGTGTGGTAGGCAGTTCCGTCCGGTTTGGATAAACTGGTTGCTGAAATCACAGCCAGTTCTTGGACCACCTGCTACAATCTGCATTTAGCTCGTCCTGCTCTGTGCTACTGCTGCTCCCCTCTCCTGGGAACTGCATTGCTGACATACGTTGTTCCACGTTGTTGCTGCCCCTTCCCTTGGGACTAGTGCTTGGCTTGGCGACTGGCCCCTTTCATGCTCATTCACCTTGATGCTGTTCTACCCTGTGCTCCTGGTGCAGGGAACATGGATGGAAGTGAAAAAACATCCCTGTCCCGGTGTCTCTTACCTCTGCTTTGCAGACTGGGAGACCCAAGCAATTTGAATGAACTGTTGTCTTGAGAAGAAGCTTGTGGAAAATGCAGCCTAATTGTTTGCAGTAAGGTTTTCTGTTCTCTTTTGGGCCCGTGTGGTGCCATTTGTTGTACATAGAAGGGGTGGGGAAATATGCTATATGAATTGGTTTATGGTGTTCCTCAAGTTACTTGAGGAACTCAAGTTGTAACTCAAGTTACATCATCTCAACTTACAGCACAGTGATGTGATTTTAAGTGGGAAACAGTATATTCCCTATAAAGCCTTCTGCTAGTTCGCCTTGACCTACGTTTGCTGGGAATTATGCCTACCAGAAGAGCATTCATCTTTAGGGTCACAAAAAAAACCCATTTGCAATTTTCCTGTAATAGAAAACTTTGCTACTTTGCCAAGGAAATAATCAATGGCTCTTGCACATCTCCCTTTTTCACTTAGTGCTGCTTCTGTCGGCATGCTCAGAGGCTCAAGCAGGAGAGAGTTTCTCTCTGAATCCTTCTCGCTCCTATTTCTTTTTTAGGATCAGGATGCTTTCCCTTGGGTGACTCACTGAAACCTACACTTTCTCCTATAGGGGACTCATGGTTGTGTTAGTCCTCAGCTGTGGCTAGCCTGTAACATCTCTCCCCCCATCTCCTCCCTCTCCCTTCTGTGTCAGGTCACATCTCTTCAACGTCATATCTGAGAGACTCAAAATCCTCGCCTGGAGAGATTTTCCCTACCTACTGTACAAAGAGAGGAATTGGGTAGACAGCAAAGCCGTGGAGGAAGAAATAAATGTGATGGGAGGGAGGGAGTAAAGAAGTCCCCTGAGGTTGGAACAGCATGCAAGAGGTCAGCCCAGTCCTGGGGCGCAGAACACTAGCGAATGCTTTCGCCCAGACTTGAGTAGAGGTAGACTTGAGCCATGTTGTCCCGTGTGTGCTTAAATGGATGTTACATAACACTTTCTAAGCCTTCACCATTTGTGAGAGCTGCAGACTTCAGGATTTCCTGACAAATGCAAGTTATTAGTGTTTCAAACCACCTCTCTCACCTATTATGTGTTTCTAACAGGTCCCTGAGATATCCTCAGGAATGGTGCAAACATTTCCTTATGTATATGCTCCTTATAGGGAGGCAAATAAGATAGGCTGCTTAAAACAGGTAATATTTACTTGACATTTCATGATGCCAATAAAACGACTTCCAGAAAGCTTCTAGACGGAATAGGTCATTTTTTAATGCACACAGTTCTGCACCCACTGGAATAAATCAATAGTTGACCTTGTTCTAGCAGATAAAGAAGAGTTAATAGCTGACCTGAAATCCCATGGTTGCCTAGGTACCAGTGATTGTTATTTGTCTGTATTTGCTTTGTGCAAACAGAATATGGCATCAGGCAGTAATGTAAGGAGCTTTAGAAGAGTCTGTTTCTTCAAGTTTAAACAACTGGCAGCGTAACTGCCCGTGAAGGTACCTTTAAAAGGGAGGCGTTAATGGAAGCTATAAAGTATTCAACAAAATCATACTGATGGCCAAAAACACGTGATTCCACAGTCCCTGAAACAGTGTTAGTAAAACTCAAAGTATCCTGCACGTTAGGGAGGGAGGATGAAGAGGAGGAGGATGTAAATGGCAGCAAATATAATTGCAAACTTAAAGAAGCAGGTGAGAAGGGAAGTGTGCTAATCATGGAGATAGTGGTGATATAGGTTTGGAGGCGAAGGCATCAAATTTTTACATGCAGAGAGAAAAGATCTAGGTGTCGGTACGATATAAAATCAGGAAATAGTTGTGTGGCTTGGAAAAAAAAGCCACAAATACAACAAAACAAATGAACAAACAAAAACCAAACAGAAAAAAAGAACAACAAAACTCCCCATCTTGCTGTGTTTAAAAGTGGTATTTGTACCATATCTGGTTTTGTATGTAATTTATAACAAAGGAGGATGAGAGTGCTTCCTAATATTTACAAACCAACAGATCTAGATAAGATACATCCAAAGATAACAGCCAAAGCAAGGAGCTGTTTTATTCATTAATGTTAATTTTTAGCTAATTCTTGTAAGCTGGAGAATTGCAGAAGGCTGGAGCACTGCCCACCAGCATTCACCATTGAAAAAATTGAAATGAATGACCCAAAGACCTACAAACTATCTAACCATATATTGGTCAAAAATAAAAACTAATTTGGGAGAGTTTTTAAAACCATTAGGATCTAAAGAAATGGTTTAATATCTATTCATTGTGACTTTGTATAAGATAATCTACATCTTTGCAAGATAAATACTGCCTTGCCTGTTTTGACAAGATTGTTCAAAGCAATACTGATGCAGTTGAACGTTGCCCAATCAATTGAATTCATCCAGGTGACCAATGTCAATTTTTAACAAGAAGAGTATATATCTCAAATAAACACAGCATGTCAGAAGGATTAAAAACCTGTTTAATGATCGATAATAAAAAGTTGTAGTTACTGGGGAGAAATCAGTGATCAAGACTGTTTCTAGTGTCGGTTTCCCCAGGGGTCTGTCTCAGTCACAGTCCTGTTCAGTAT